GGGCCACTGGGATGGCGAAAACAGCCTCCCCTGGGCTCTGGAAGGCCTCCGGAAGCCGGAAACAGACCTGCTTTCGGACTTCCAGAACCTCTGGTTCAGCCCGGTTTTCACCCTCCCAGAGCCTCCGCGTGGACCCTGCACTTATCTGCAACTAAATGGGCTGCGTAGAGACTCCTGGGAGGGGAGGGGTGGGGCCAGCCAGTTGGTTCAACTACCGGTTTGGCGAACCAGATGTAAATTTAACATCCGGTTCACCTGAACCAGTCCAAACCGGTAGAATCCCATCTCTGGTCGTAAGTTAAGGACTAGCTGTACAATTCAGGATCCTGAATGCCAATTATCAACCAAGGGAGACTCCTACATCATGCTAACCCATTAAAAAATTAACAATGGTTGGCGTTAATCAAACTTAGTGTGCCGTGTAACTAGAATTGCTCCGTCTTCATTTAATCGGATTAACACTTCCAAATTCTGCACCTCGGTAACTTTTATGCCATATCAAAAGGGTCCATAATTAAATGGAAATCCAGCCAGCGTTAATATCAGAAGATGAGAATCATCTAAACATGGTTGCCTTTTGTTGTTGTTTTTTGTGAAATATTTCCACTAAACTGGAGATGAATAAAAAAGTGCCCAAGTATTTATATGTCAGTCTTTATTAATACGAAAATAATATTTATGGTCATTGGAGACAAAGGCCGTGCCTGCAAATTAGTAATCTCTCTCTGATTTATTACAGAACAAAAAAAAACTCTGAGCCAAGCATAAGGAGAGAGATTCACTAGGATAAATGAGGCTTTATTTATGACTAAAGTTAATTTGTTCCAGCAACTAGCTAAACCCAGAGGCACTTGGTTGAGACTGGCGGCTCAAATGGAACAACTAGATAAAAATAAATAAAATTATCTAGTCAACTACGGCTGCTCACAGAAGCTAAGCAGAGTCGTCCTTGACTACTAATTGAATGGGCAATCATTAGGAAAGTACCAGGGCTATAATCTAAAAATGTCCACAACAATGTTAACAAAAATGCATCAGGACAATTACAAAGAGCCAAATGTGTCTAGTTTTTTTTATATGTTACAGGTGGTCCTCGACTTACAAGTTGGCTTAGCGACATTTCGAAGTTACAGTGGGAGTGAAAAAGGTGACTTACATCCAGGGGTGGGATTCAAAAATCCTAACAACCGGTTCTCTGACCAGTTGCTGGGTGGACGTAGCCATGGTGGGCGTGGTCTATCGGAACTTCCGGGAGGGCCATTTTTCACTTTCCCCAGAGTCCGGAGGCTTCCCTCGGGCCTCTGGGTGAGAACGGCCTCCCTCGGGCTCCGGAGGCCCTCTGGAAGCCAGAAACAGGCCCGTTTCTGGACTTCCAGAACTTCCAGGAGGGCCGTTTTTTGCCCTCCCCGAGACTCCGCGTAGACCCTGCACTTACCTGCATCCAAAACGGGCCACGTGGAGACTCCTGAGAGGGAAGGAGAGGGGTGGGCGTGGTCGGTTAGTTGATTCAACTATTGGTTCAGCGAACCAGATATAAATTTAACATCCAGTTCGCCCGAACCGGCCCGAACCGGCTGAATCCCACCCCTGCTTAAGTCCATTTTTCACACTTACGACCGTCGTAGCATTCACATGATCCAAATTCAGATGCTTGGCAACTGGTTTCACATTTATGACCGTTGTACTGTCCCGGGGTCCTGGGGTTCCCCTTTTGAGACCTTCTGACAAGCAATTTCACTGGGGAAACCAGATTCACTCAACAACCGTGTGACTAATTTAATGACTGCAATGATTCACTTAAAAACAGTGGAAGAAGGGTGGTAAGTTGGAACAAAAGTCACTTAACAACTGTCTCACTTAGCAAAAGAAATGCTGTGGTCATAAGTCGAGGACTACCTGTATAGATATCAATACATATACTTCAAGCATGGATCTTAACTTATTATCAAAACCTGCATTCTAGGGATAACAAAACTCCATTAAATTCTGGTCTGTCTCACACTGGGTTCTGTGGCCACAGACTCGGACAGTGAGGAGATTGGGGAGGAACATGGGCCAGTCCTGGAATCTGGGGAAGGCTCTGACAAGGGCTCTGTGTCGGAGACAGAGATGGGGCCGACAGTTATCAGCTGCCTTTGGAATCGGAGATCAGTGGGGAAGAAGAACAGCTGGAGCCTGTTCCCAATGTGCGCATGCACAGAGCTGGCAGGAGAAGGGAACAATTAAGAAACAAGGGTCGACTTGGGAGTAAAGCCACAGGTGGACGGTGAATGGCCCCTTCCATAGGGAATAAAGAGAAGCGAAAGGGCAGTAGTGTTTGCAGGAGACAATTTAGTTCAATTTCTTAGGGTGAAGATCTGTTCCTGACTTCTTGCCAAGTATTTTTCTGCTATAGAATGGCGTTTGGAAGATATCAGTCTGGCAACTGTCCAAGCCTGATAAAGGTCTGTAGTTGTACAATCTCTTGAAAGACTACTGGCCGGGACTATGCTGGAAAGTGAATGAGAGGAATTCACTTTAACTGAAATAAAAGGGGTTTTATTGGGATCAGGAGTTTTGTGCTTTTGGGAAGCCTAGGTCAGAACAGGTTCGGACCCCAACTTAAAACTATTATATGCCTTCTTTGACTCAGCACAATACGTGATCTTCATCATTGTGGATTGTGAATCATGGTTTAAAGCTTGTCATGTAACGTATGCAGCTAAACGAAAGTTTTGGCCAATGCTGAAACCCGATTATGAAGCTCAGGAGGGTTAACAGATACTAAAGGAGCAAACTGACATATGAACAAATCTAATAAAGCTTAAATTAGGATGTTAGTCCTCAGGAAGTTGCAACCATGTGCTTTTCCAAAGACTGGTGCCAACAACAAGCCATGGTTCCTTGGTACTTACTTCCTCCAAATGTTCCTCGCCTGAGGCCTACATTGAAAAAAAAACCTATCTGTTAGCTGCACGTCTCAAAAATGCAACTGAGATCTTTACCCAATCCTTGAATCCTCTGTTCTTCCTGGAAATGGGACCTTGATCTAACTAGAGCAGAGGTCTTCAAACTTGATAGCTTTAAGACTTGTGGACTTCAACTCCCAGAATTCCTCCTCCAGTCACGTTAGCTCGGGAATTTTGGGAGTTGAAGTCCACAAGTCTTAAACTTGCCAAGTTTGAAGACCCTTCATCTAATAGGTCAAAGGTTTAGCAACGTGGTTAAGCTTAGCCAGAGGGACACGGAAAGCAGAAAATAGGTCGATTTTTCCTAGCAAGAGTGATTGATCCCAAGAAGAACAGCATCACAAGAGAAACAAGGAACAGACCCAAAGATGAGACAGGGTGAAGAAATAAGGTATGAGATCCCAAAGGTGTTTTCTTTCCCAAAAGGCAACTGGTCTTTGTTTTTCCTTGAAGACCTTTTGCTTCTCATCCGAGAAGCTTCTTCAGTTCTGAAGAACTTGAAGTTCTTCAACTTCAAGAAGCTTCTTGACTGATAAGTGAAACTTTTTCAAGGAAAAAACAAAGTCCAGTTGCCTTTTGAAAAAGCACCTTTGGGACAACCATGACCTGAATGACTGAGAATCTCCATGGCTAAGACATGAGATGGGAGAAGGTAGTCCTTCTTTGAGAACAGGAAACAAAATCTCCCTTCCCAGAAACGGATCTTCAGAGTGACCTATGAAGATGGAAACTCCCCATGGGAATGTCGTGTTCCTATCACTGCAAAAGATAGCATAGAAAGAGATATTCGACCTTGATGACTTTAAGGCTTGGGGATTTCAACTCCCAGAGTTCTTCAGCATGGCTGGCTGAGGAATACTGGGAGTTGAAGTCCACGAGTCTTAAAGTCGCCAAGGTTGGACATCCCTGGCATAGAAGGTCTGCAAGATGATCTACATTTCTAGGGCATCTAGCATTCACTGATCCAAAGATCCCATGAATTACAAAACTATATATTTTATTTGAGTCTCAACACAGAGAGATAAAACAGAGTTTCCTGTCTTTTATTCTCACAAGAACGCTTAGCTGCTTCTAAGACTTAGACTAGAACTCACAATCTCCTGGTAATTGATCCAAAGTCACCCAGCCAGTTCTCATGCTTAAGGTGGGACTTGAATTCACAGTTCTCCTGCTTTCTAGCAAGGTGCCTTAACTACTAAACCAAACTGCCTCTATACATGCTTTAACTTCTAGAATGAACTCTTGATTCAGTTCATGGCTTCCCTCTGGTTTACATCCTTCTCAAACAACCATGGTAAAATCATAACTGTAAGCAATCAAGCCATTAGTAATAGAATAAGAGAGTTAGAAGGGACCTGGAAGGTCTTCTACTCCAACCCCCTGCTTAGGCAGGAAACCCCATACTATTTCAGACAAGTGGTTGTCCAATCTCTTCTTGATGGGGTACCCACAACTTCTGGAGGCGTTTCACTGATTAATTGTTTTCACTGTTAGGAAATGCCTCCTTAATCCTAGGTTGCTTCTCTTCTTGATTCATTCCCATCCATTCCTTCTTGTCCTGCCTTCAGGTGAAGTAGAACAACAAACAAGGAGAGTTTCTTCTTACCTTGGCTAACCGACTCATCTTGTCTTCTGAAAATGTACTGCTTGTTTTCCCAGGAGTCTTGGTGGGCTCAGAACCATCTGCTTCCACATTGGGCCATACTTTGAGATCATGCATTCCTTGACGGAACATCCTATGAATGGAAGGCAGATTTAAAGAGACAGCTATAATGGGATGGGATGGGATAGAATATGAGTAGGATAGGACAGGAGTAGAGTAGAATAAGAGTAGAGTAGAGTAGAGTAGAGTAGAGTAGAGTAGAGTAGA